TTTTTTTTTCCAGAACATACTTCCAAGTTGCCTTGTGGAAAAATAAATGAAGCTGTCACAACTGGAAAAATGAAATGGGAGCCCACACATACTCTCACACACTAAATAAGTAAATAAACCAGATGAATTAAATGTTAAAATTAAAATGAAATTAAAATTCCACCAAAAAATCCAGAAAATGCAAGTATAGGCTGGGCACCGTGGCTCACGCCTATAATCCCAGCACTTTGGGAGGCTGAGGTGAGAGGATTGCCTGGGTCCAGGGGTTCAAGACCAGCCTGGGCAACTTGGTGAGACCTCATCTCTACAGTAAATTGAAAAAAATAAGCCAGGCGTGGTGGTGCATGCCTACAGTTCCAGCTACTTGGAAGGCTGAGGCGAAAGGATCACCTGAGCCCAGCAGGTCGAGGCTATAGCAGCCATGAACATGCCACTGCACTCCAGACTGGGCGACAGAGTGAGACTCTGACTAAAAAAAAAGACGGCCAGGCACAGTGGCTCATGTCTATAATCCCAGCACGTTAGGAGGCCAAGGTGAGAGGATTGCCTGAGCCCGCAGGTTCAAGACCAGCCTGGGCAATTTGGTGAGACCTCATCTCTACAATATATCAAAAAAAAAAAAAAAATTAGCTAGGCATGGTGGCGTGTGCCTATAGTTCCAGCTACTTGGAAGACTGAGGCGGAAGGATCACTTGAGCCCAGCAAGTCGAGGCTGCAGTAGCCGAGAGCATGCCACTGCCCTCCAGCCTGGGTGGCAGAGTGAGACTCCAACTCAGAAAAAAAAAAATCATCAAGGAGATTTAAAAAGTTAACAACGGAGTAATAACCCAGTAGAAAAGCAAAATATTGTGCAGCTGTTTTAAAAAGTGAATTAGAAGCCGGGCTTGGTGGCTCAGCCTGTAATCCTGCTCCTTGGGAAGCTGAGGTGAGTGGATTGCCTGAGCCCGTGGGTTCGAGACCCGCCTGGGCAATTTGGCAAGACCTCATCTCTACAATAAATCAAAAACTAGCCGGGTGTGGTAGCACATGCCTGTAGTTCCAGCTACTTGAAAGGCTGAGGCAGAAGGATTGCCAGAGCCCAGGAGGTCGAGGCTGCAGTGGCCAGGAACGGCCACTGCACTCCAGTCTGGACGACAGAGTGAGACTCCAACTCAAAAAACAATAAAAATAAAAAGTGAATTAGCGTCAGGTGCAGTGTCTCACACTTGTAATCCCAGCACTTTGGAAGGCGGAGGCAAGAGGGATGCCCACTCAGGGGTTTGAGATTAGCATGGACAACTTGGCAGGACCTTGTCTCTTCAATAAATCAAAGAATTAGCTGGGTGTGGTGGCACTCGCCTATGGTTCCAGCTACTTGAAACGCTGAGGAAGAAGGATCGCCTGAGCCTAGCAGGGACTCCAACTCAAGAAAAAAAAATGAATTAGTGAATTATGGCTGGGCACGGTGGCTCATGCCTGTAATCCCAGTACTTTGGGAGGTGGAGATGGATTCAAGACTAGCCTAGGCAACTTGGTGAGACCTTGTCTCTACAATAAATAAAAAAATTAGCCGGGCCTGGTGGCACGCTGCCTGCTACTTGGAAGGCTGAGGCAGAAGTGGATAACATGCTAAATTTTATCACACACTCTTGAGCCCAGCAGGTCAAGGCTGTGGTGGACATGAACTTGCCACGGCACTCCAGCCTAGGTGACAGGGTGAGACTCCAACTCAATCAATCAATCAGTCAGTACTTCTCAGGGGAAGTACTGACACATGATATTTGCTGAGTAGAAAAAGTAGGATGCACAAAAGTGTATGGCCGGGCTCGGTGGCTCAGCCTGTAATCCCGCGCCTTGGGAGGCCCAGGTGAGTGGATTGCCTGAGCCCGCGGGTTCGAGACCCGCCTGGGCAACTTGGCGAGACCTCATCCCTACAATAAATCAAAAAATTAGCCAGGCGTGGTAGCGCGCGCCTATAATTCCAGCTACTGGGAAGGCTGAGGCGGAAGGATCGCTGGAGCCCAGCAGGTCAAGGCTGCGGTGTCCGGGAGCGGCCACTGCACTCCAGTCTGGGTGACAGAGTGAGACTCCAACTCAAACAAACAAACCAAAGAAAAGTGTGTATGATGTGATCCAATTTTGGTTTGACAATGACCAAAACCCAGTTATCCTTATCTATATGATGATGATGTGTGTGTGCTGTGTGTCTATTTTGCATTCATGATGAAATTTGTACATGTGTAATAAAGCTATTTTTCAAGAGAAATACTAATATTGCAAAAAAAATCCAAAACAGAAATAAAAATTAGCTATAAACCCATCTCCTCCCCCATATACCACAATAAACATTATATATATCCATCATCCATTTTTCCCTATGCTTATGTGTGGGTACTTTTATACATTAGAATCATACGGTCCGCCGGGCTCAGTGGCTCAGGCTGTAATCCCAAGGATGAGATGAGTGGATTGCCTGAGCCCACGGGTTCGAGACCCGCCTGGGCAACTTGGCGAGACCTCATCTCTACAATAAATCAAAAGTTAGCAGGGTGTGGTAGCGCACGCCTGTAATTCCGGCTACTCGGAAGGCTGAGGTGGAAGGATCGCCGGAGCCCAGCAGGTCGAGGCTGTGGTGGCCGGGAGCGGCCACTGCACTCCAGTCTGGGTGACAGAATGAAACCCCAACTCAAAAAAAAAAAAAAAGAATCGTATGGTCCATATTATTTTGAGATCTATATTTCTTCTATTCGTCTATTCTCATCTGTCTGTTAACATTTGCTGATGCTCTTCTCTCAAAACCGCCCCATCCTTTAAGTCCCAGCTTAAATACTGTATCCTGTAAGAAAACTTCCCTTCAAAGCCCCTGAAAGCGGATGACCATGCTAAATTTTATCACAGCTGTTTCCCCTTCCTTGAATCACGTTTATGTCTACCTTGTATGAGAGTTTCTCGTGTGCTCCTCACCTCTCCCGTTAAACTGGGGAGCTTCTTGGGGGCAGGAACTCTGCCTCTTTCATAAGTGTGTCCTCATGGTGCCTAGAATGCACACAGTAGGCATTTTATAAGTATCACTGTACAAAAATACATAGGTTTCCTTTCTTGTATCGAGTGAACTCAAGATGGTGTGCACTAAATTAGTCAAAGTGAAGTGGGTAGATGCTTGAACACTGGAAGGAAGAGGTCATAGCTGGAGAGCAGCCCCCAAAGCCTCAGGAACCCTCAGGATCATCCAAATCCACCCTTCCTTGGGCTCTTCCAAATGCTCAGAAAGGAACAACCCACACATAGGGTTCTGTGTATGATATATATTTATATATATAATTGCTCTCATTTTATTGTACTTTATCCTCTTTTTACAGTAGATCTGACACAGGCATTAAATAACTGCAGAGAGAGAGACCATGGTGCGAAGGGCGGGGTGTGCAGGAAAACATGGGGACCCAAAGGGAAGAGACACAGATCCAGCAAGAAAAAAGAGGGAAGGGTCTATCTGTGGGTGGAGTGTGGAGGCTGCAGCATTAAGAAAAGAAAAAGGAGGTTAGAGAGGGTGAGAAAGTAAGTGAAGGGACACTGGAGGAGAAAGAGTTAAAATGCCTCTACAGCTAAGAAGACCCAGAGCAGGAGGTGCTTCATTGAACATTCTATGGGCATTATGGGGTTTCTTAAAAAGGCAAAGCCAAGGGGGTCTGAAGGAGATGGAGCCAAGAAATCCAAAGTCTAGATTGAAGAGGATATTTGGAACTTTCAGGCTGGCATGCGGAGGAAAAGGACGGAGTTAGTGATAAGGTGATAACTTGCTAAGAGAAGCCAGAGAGGGGATGGTGGGGGCAGATCTAGGCTCAGGGGAAGGAGGTGGAATAGTCCCCTAGCCAGCTGATGTTTCCAAGGTGGCCGCTGGGGACCGAGCCAGAATGGCTGCCCCTCCCCCAGAGCTCCCTGGGAAGTGGAACTTGAAGGATATTCTGGGAAGGCAAATGGGGGAAGGGAGCCATCAGTAAAAACAAAGTGGATATTCAGCCTAGGTCAACCCCGCCCCTCTGAGTAGCAGTTACTTGGGTGATACAAAGGACCAGGAGGAAACCGAAGTCAGGGGCTGCTGCTAGAGGATTTTCGACAAGGGTCAATACAGGCTTCTCTTCCAGACCCTCATTTCCCAGTTCACATAGTCATCATAGGGTGAGAAGCTGAATGTGACAGGAAAGAGGCAAAAGGCTACAGAACCCACCTAGTCCTCAATGACAAATAACTGCCTGCCTTTCAGAGGAGAGAATCGGGATGAAAAGGAGGTGGGGAAAGGCCTGTCAGTAGAGCCAGCTAACTCAAAAGTCACCAAGATAGCAACTGTGCAGATGAGGGAGAAAGTGTGAGAAAGAAAGACAGAGAAAGGAATGGAAGGAGGGAGCACCACACTCGTTTCTGGAAGCAAAGGAGTGAAACAAGGCCGTGTGTGTGTGTGTGTGTGTGTGTGTGTGTGTGTGTGTGTGTGTGTGTGTGTGTAGCTGGGTGGGTCAGTGGGTATTTTCTGTAGCTTTTAGAACAGGCAGGCAGGAGAGGGGGTAGCTCTCATAGCTAAATCAGAATTAGAAAGGCTCCTGACTCCTCTATGGCCATCTTGGTAGCCCATCTTCCCGTCTCTGACTGAGCTAAGGTTGGGATGGGAGAAGGTGGTGGAAGATGCATACTGCCAGGGAATTACAATGGACATGAGGCTGGATTGAGAAGTCAAGGAAAAGGGCAAGTCATAGCTCTGTTATAAAAAATACCTTTGGGGTGGGTGAGGGAGGGATCAGGCAGGGTCAGGGACATTCCAGAAGCATCCACAGGAGAGAGATGGGGGGCGGGAGGAAGGGGCCTCAGGTTTTGTTGATGCGGAGTTTGAAGGCCACGCGGCCAGCGAACTTGTCTCGTTCATCATCCGTAGCGATGTTGGCGGCGTTGATGCGGCATTCCACATTCACCTCCACGTTGGGAGTCACATTCAGGAACTTCACAGCCACCAGGGGCTGTGTGTAGTTCACCTGGGCCAGAGGAGCAGTGCGAGGGTCTAGGCCTGGGACAACTTGACTTCCTTCCCAAGTTTACAACCCGCACCCGCCATCAGCCTGGGCCTCCCATGGGACTTACGTGGAACTTTTTGCCATAGTAGGGGAAGTACATGAGGTCGATGTTGCCATTGGCAGGGAACATGACAAAGTTGCCGAGATTCTCAGCATCTTCATCTCGCTGCAGAGGTGCAGGAAAGTAAAGAGGTGAGCAAGTTAAGGATGGCAGGCACCCAGAATCTCACCAGGCTTCCCTTTGTTCTTCCTTCACCCCCAATTATTGCTGTCTTAAGTCAGCTACCCTTGAGCTGTGAGTGTGTGTGTGTGTGTGTGTGTGTGTGTGTGTGTGTGTGTGTGTGTGTGTGTGTGTCTGTGTGTGTGTGTGTGTGTCTATGTGTATGTCTGTGTGTAGGAGAGGGATGGCCTGCTTTTGTCATCAGACTAGGAAATCCTGAAGGTTACTAATGACACTGAAGCCTCCTATTCAACTCCTACCCCAAGTCCTTACCCCATCCTCAGGAGTCGGTTTCTGGAGCAGAGCCAAGAAAGAACAGATAAATGAGTAAGGGTTCAGTAGGATGTAAGGAAAGGGGCTGTGAATGGAAAGGGGCAGCAAGTTTCTAGAGAGGACAGAGTAAGGGGAATGGGTTCCCAAGGACAACTTAGTGGTGGCAGATGGTGCTAACAGATTAGCAGCTACCAGATACCTAAATGGAACTGAGGAACAGAAGCAATAAGGGAAGGAGAGCGGAAGACATGGACAATAAGGGAATAATGGAGAAGGTGGGAGGGTGAGGGAGAGAAGCCAGAGACCAGGAATTTGGTGGAGGAGGGATTGTGTCTGCCCCAGGAGAACAGGCTTCTGCATCCCAGAGAGAAGCAAGAGGAGTTCAAGCTGCAGTGGAACCCACTCTTACCCCCTTGTTTCTATGATGTTGGGGCCTCTGGGAGCAAAGAAGATAGGAAGAGATGGATGAACCACACAGAAACCATGAAGGACAAACAGGTGAGCAGATGGACAAGGCCCAACAAACTCACCTTCCCAGCACAGGTAACATTCATACTCTGGTTTGCTCCTGCATAGAAGTTGATGACCTGGAGTGAGAAGGGAGGGTGGAGAGAGTCAGAGGAAGAAGTTGTCAAAGACAGGCATTCAGATCAAGCTAAGCTGGGCACAGTGACTTGTGTCTGTAGTCCCAGCTACTGAGGCAGGACTTGAGCCCAGGGGGTCAAGCCTAGCCTGGGCAATAGAGCAAAACCCTGTCTTTAAAAAAAGAAAACAAAAAGACAGGCATCCAGCCTTCTAGTTACAGAGCTTTGCTTTCAAGGCCCACCTCTCTTATTCTCTCGGCTACTCAAACATCCAAAAATCTCTCATTCCTATTAGCCCCAGTGAAAGAATGCAACTGTCAGGCTGGACACAGTGGCTCACGCCTATAATCCCAGCACTTTGGGAGGCTGAGGTGAGAGAATTGCCTGAGCCCATGGGTTCGAGACCTGTCTGGGTAACTTGGCGAGACCTCATCTCCACAGTAAGTCAAAAAATTAGCCAGGCATGGTGGCGTGTGCCTGTAGCTCCAGCTACTTGAAAGGCTGAGGTGGAAGGATCTCCTGAGCTCAGCAGGTTGAGGCTGCAGTGACCGTTGAGTGTGCCACCACTGCACTCCAGCCTGGTTGACAGAATTAGACTCCAACTCAAAAAAAAAAAAAAAATGACAATACAACTATCAGCAGATGGTGGTCCCAGCTCCCTCCTCCACTCCCCCTGGCGACCAAGATCATGGGTACCCGGTTCATCTTGATGAAGACACAGGGCTGCCCAGTGCTGTAACCATAGTGAGTGGGGTCCCCAATGCCAGAGCAGTTGCCCAGCTGGGTCCGGTTGAATTGGCAGGCACGTTTTGGGTAGTTGAGGACTCCGTTATCTGGCTGTTCATAATAGCGCCCAGGGCGGCAGACATCGTTCTTTTGGGCTTGGATGGAGTCGTTGTAAGCTAAGGAGGTGGGAGGGAGAGAGTCAGGGGCCCAATGTTCTGCTTCCAGGGTTCCCAATCCCTACCCAAGGTCCTGGACTGCCACATAGTTAGCCCCACACTCACGTTCCAAGAACTTGTTGAGTTTCTGAACATGCTGGTCCCAGCTTTCAGTGTCACTGACATTGACAATGACATCAAGGTTCTCAGTCTTGGGACGAATCATCAAGCCTATAGCCAACGAGGGCAGGAGTGGGAGATATATATCAGATGAGGGACCACACACAAAGGAAAGAAGATAGATACAGAGGACACCAGGGTGAGGGATGGTGTGAAGACCTAGATTGTCTTCACAGGAGGATGATCTTCTGTGGTTATCTGCCACTTCCACAGATCACATACTCCCAGCTGCAGGACATAGGAAGAAAGGCAGACTTCAAGAAGAACTTCCTGGCACATGGTGATTGGGTCATCAGAACCAAACTCCCGAAAAGAACTATATATTCCTTTTGGAGGCTTAAGGGCACGACTGGTGGTTAGAGTAGCTGGTAGGGGGAGCCTCTTCACTCACCAGGTGTAGCCAGTCGGTCCTGGTACTTGGGGGTATGGTCAGAGACAGTCTGCAGCATCACCCACATGGTAAGGGAGAACATGGCAGTCAGGAAGCCATAGAAGACGAGGTAGAAGAGGAGAATAAAGGCTAGGGAGGAGGAAGCAGGGTCAGCAGGTTCTAAGTTTCCCACCATTACCTCACCTATCCCCACACACTCCTCTACCCACTCAGTAGTTCTGCACTGGGGCCGGCTGCAGAGCCATAAGGACATCTTAGAGCCTTCCCCTGGGAACAAAATGAGACAAGCTGGAAACAAGCAGTTGTGCCTGGCTTCCAGCCATGACTCCCAGCCCCCTCCTGGTCCTAGGGCACAGTGAAGCCCGACCTTGTGGAGGCCACAAGAGACCTAAACTCTTGTTGCTGGGGCAACCCCAAGTAGAGGCTGCTGTCATTTTGCCTCCAATTACATTTCCAACTTCTCAACCATGCATGGTCCTGAAAAGGCACACATCTGTTACCTCTGAATTGCTTCAAGCTGTGCTAGTACAATGACTTTTTAAGCTGGTACTGGAACCACCCCACAGAGCATGGACCCTCAGACTTCAGAATCTCCTCTGGTGCCCCGCAAAAGCAACACCCTGAACACAGCTTCTGAAACGAAGGACCTAACACCCTGGCCTAGCTACAAATCTCTCAGAGACAGCTGTCAGAACCTTTGGCAGTCACCCCGCCCTCAACTCACACCCAGAACGGAGGGCAGAGGCAGGGAGTAAGGGTAGAAACTCCCACAGCCTTCCTTTGATATGACCTCTCCATCACTCCCCTAGGCTGGTGTAAGGGCCCACCACCCTGGACTCCAGTCTTTCAATCTCTGAAGACACTTCCTCCAGGAAGTCCTCAGATCCCAAGCATTTTGGGATCCCTCCCATCCCTGGGGCTAGATTTTGAGTTCCCTGAAGGCCTGGATTGCATTGGACCCACCTCAAGAGCCCCTAAGTAGGTGGGCTGATGGGGACAGTGCCCAGTCAGTGCAGATATATTGTCAATTGTGTCATATAGTGTGTCTTTGACTTCCCTCTTGGCCATCCCTTTGGGAAGAATTCTGACCCTCACCTGCACCTGTCACCAGACCCCCTGACCACAAACAACTTCCCACCCTACCCCCCAGGTCCTGCCATGTAAGGGTAGAGAAGCTCCATCCGATTCCCAGACACACCCGGCTGGATGAGTACACGTCTTACCCCAGTGACCACTCCTCCCGCGCCACCACCACCAAGGCGGAACATGCAGTCGCAAAAACTGTCACCCATCCCAGTAGCCCCCCACACACAAAGCAGTCACAGAAGGATTCAAACACCCGGCGGTGGGATGTAGACAACTTCCGCTGTGAAGAACCCCCCTAACACACCCCCTCCAAGACCCGCCCCCTCATGAATGTTCCCAGGGTCCAGGGGGTGGGCACGAGCTAAAAATAGATGAGGTTGGCGAGCTAGTGAGAACCGGAGGGAGGGAAGGGGCGCTCTTCGGAGGTGGGGGACAACCGTGTGGAGCGGACAGGCCCGAGAGCTAGCGTGAGCGCCGCGGCGTGGACACGCGCGCAGAGCTCGCGACCCCCCGCCCGAGGGGGCTCCGCGGGGGGCGGGAAGACGGCTGTGACCTACTTTCTCCGCCTCCGCACGGCCAGCCGGAGAGATTAGACTGGTGATTCGGCCCCCTCCCAGCCCAGAGCCCGGCAGGGGGGCTGGACGCCGAGGACCCGGGAGGGGAGCTGGGGGCGCGTCGGCGGGACCCTGCGCCCCCGAGGCGTCGCCCCGCGGCTCCCCCGAGCCCCTTGCGCTCTGGCCCCGCGTACCCCAACTGGTCCCGGTGCGGCCCATAAACTGGTGCGTCCTCGGGTTCCACACGAACTCCTTCCACTCCTCAACCACCTGCCCGCAGCTCTTCTTCTCTTTCTGGATGACCATCTTGGCGGCTCAGGGCGAGTCCCAGCGCGGGGCGGGGGGCTGCGGAGAAGCGGGGGCTCTGCGCGCTGAAGCCCTCCACGCACCCGAAAGCGCGGGGAGCAAAGGCGGAGGGAGCGAAGGAGACCCCTCTCAGATATGCAGCTGCAGCAAATTCTGGGGTGCACGGCCACGCGCTGCGGGGTGCTGGCCTCGCGGCGGAAGATACACCGATCCTAGGCCCCCCAACTGCGGTGAAAAGGGGGACTGTCCGAGCAGGGAAGGCTAACAAGGGGAAGAGGTGTGAACGCAGCTTCACCTCCCAAATCTCCTAGAAGCAAAAGAAAAAAGGGTGCAAAAACAGACGACTACGGAACCCAAGCAAGACGCAGAAAAAGCGGGGCGCAAAGAGGCAGGGAGAGGTGGGGGAGGGGACCGCCCCGAAATCCGAGATGTAAAGAGGCTGTGGAACCTGGCGGGTGACCGCTCAAGGCTCCTCTGTCAAGCGGAGACCACTGCACCAGTGGTGGCTCGGCCGCTGGGGTGGGGCGGGGACGCGCAGTTGGGGGACAGCCAGGAATGGGGGGCCCCCCAGGCGGAGCCTCCGCTCCTCAGCAGTGCGGGGCCAGCGATCGCGGCGCGCAGTCTTTATACTCTGCGGCTCTGGGGGTGCCCGCCCCCTTCCCACCCCCAGAAGCTCCGCCTTCTCGCCGCTGGCCCAGGCGACCTCATACATATGCAAATATGGAGAGAGGGATTGGCCCGCCCACTGTCGCCTCTTAGGGACCAGGCAGTCTCTCCCTACCCCCACTCCAGGTGCTGGACTGGGACTGGGTGGAAGGAAGAGATAGAGGGCGTGTCTGGGCGGAGTAGAGGGAAAGATAACCCCAGAGAAACTCAGAGACAGAGAGAGAAGCAGATATATGCTCAAAGGTGGGGGCCCTAAGTGGGGAGTTGAAAACAGACTAAGACGCAGAAGCGGTGGAAGAGTCCGGGAGACAGACGGGGCAGAATGTGAGAGGAAGAGAGCTAGAGACCAAGAAAGACAGGGCGAGCAAAGAGATCAGCTGGGATGCTGGACCCGTCTGGATGGAAGCTACAACAGGCTACACAGAGATGAGTAAAGGCCACCGCAGGAGGGAAATTCCCCTAGTGGGAGCTGCTACCAGTCCCCTAGACACATTTTCTCCAGTCTTTCTGGCCCCTTGTACACACCACCAGGTTCTCTACACGTGCAGGGACATCCCCATCTACAAGCCTCCCTGAATGACACATTTTCAGTCCCCAGTATTGCCCTGAAACCCCAGCCCTGCAGGAGGTCCTTAGGTGCTCTGCTTCCCCACACTCCCTTCCCCATGTCTGAACTCCATTTGGATCAGCAAAAACGTGTAGAGCACCTTCTAGAGACTGTACAGCTGTAGCCCTGGGGATAGGTTAAACTGAAATCTAGACTGAAGTTACAGTTCTCACAGGGCTCAGTCTAGTGGGGGAACTAGAAGAGCCTCTAAATACCACATGTTGAAATCATTTTCAGCCGGGCTCAGTGGCTCAGTCTAGTGGGGGAACTAGAAGAGCCTCTAAATACCACATGTTAAGAATCATTTTCAGCCGGGCTCGGTGGCTCAGTCTGTAATCCCGCGCCTTTGGGAGGCTGAGGTGAGTGGATTGCCTGAACTCGCTGGTTTGAGACCCGCCTGGGCAGCGAGACCTCATCTCTACAATAAATCAAAAAATCAGCCGGGCGTGGTAGCACATGCCTGTAATTCTGGCTATTCAGAAGGCTGAGGCGGAAGGATCGCCGGAGTCCAGCAGGCGAGGCTGTGGTGGCCGGGAGCGGCCACTGCACTCCAGTCTGGATGACCAAGTGAGACTCCAACTCAAAAAAAAAAAAAAGAATCATTTTCTCCACCTCTTTTCATCTTTCTTCAAAGCTTGTCACTTTTCCTTGGAGAAGTCCCCCCCTCCAACTGCCAACCTAAATCCTTGGCCAAGTATCGACATCGCACATCTAGACTATCACCCTTGTCCTCAAACTCACTCCTTTCAGTTCAGGGCCAGCTTTATGACAGGGGACCTGTTCTGTCCCACAAGGCCTATGCTCAGAATTGCTTGGTTTAATGCTCTACTTGCTGTCCCTGTCTCAAAATTCTTCATAGTTCTTTCTTCAAGTCTGCTTTGTAAATGAGGTCCAACGGGACACTAATGCATGCATGGGGAGCAGAGGAAATACGTGTATTATGCCATCCCATTCACATAGCAGTGAAGATGTTTCCATAAGCACAGAATTCTGGTGGACCTGCAATGTGTGGGAGTTTAGCCAGACTCAAAGTGAGTGCAAATAAGTGGGTTATGTCTATAACTGAGTAAGTGGGGGAGGGGGGTGCTGACAGCTGAAAGATCACACTTTCTGCTGGAAGCAGAATTTGCTTTGAACACATAAAGCAAGCAGTGGCATTCTAGGAGGCAAGGATGATCATGACATTGTATCATACCCTTTCTTAGTCATGTCACTTCCCTGTAGTAGTTGGTTACTTAGATTGGTAACAATGACATAGAAAGGGAAAGCTGAGACAACCCATAGTTCCTTTTCCTTTCAGCCCTTCTTTACTTATCAGCAAATTTCAAGTAGAAAAATGTTCATTTAAAAAAGTTTTTTTGTTTTTTTTTTTGGAGTTGGAGTCTCATTCTGTCACCCAGACTGGAGTGCAGTGGCTGCTCCTGGCCACTGCAGCCTCGACCTGCTGGGCGCTGACAATCCTTCCGCCTCAGCCCTCCAAGTAGCTGGAACTACAGGCATGCACTACCATGCCCGGCTAATTTTTTGATTTATATAGTAGAGATGAAGTCTCACCAAGTTCCCCAGGCGGGTCTCGAACCCACGGGCTCAGGCAACCCACTCACCTCGGCCTCCCAAAGCACGGGATTACAGGCTGAGCCACCCAGCCTGGCTTCATTTTAAGAATTTAAAGTCGACCGGGCACAATGGCTCACACCTATAATCCCAGCACTTTAGGAGGCTGAGGTGAGAGAATTGCCTGATCCTGAGGGTTCAAGACCAGCCTGGGCAACTTGGAAAGACCTCATCTCTAAAATTTAAAAAAACAAATTTAGCCGTCTCAGTGGCTCAGCCCGTAATCCCACGCCTTTGGGAGGCTGAGGTGAGTGGATTGCCTGAGCCTGCAGGTTCGAGACACGCCCGGGCAACTTGGCGAGGCCTCATCTCTACAATAAATCAAAAAATTAACTGGGCTTGGTAGCACACGCCTGTAGTTCCAGCTACTCGGAAGGCTGACGCGGAAGGATTGCCAGAGCCCAGCAGGTCATGGCTGCAGTGGCCAGGAGCGGCCACTGCACTCCAGTCTGGGCGACAGAGTGAGACTCCAACTCAAAAAAATAAAAATAAAAAATAAAAAGAACAAAACAACAACAGCAAAGCAACAACAAACCATAAGAAGCTGAGCGAACTGTGGAAAAAAGGAAAATGATTTATACTTTAGTGCCTCTAATGGCACTTCTTTTCTACATTTTGAACAAGGGGCCCTGCATTTTCATTTTCATTTTGCACTGAGTCCCCAAAATTATGCAACTGGCCCTGCTTCAGTCTATTCTGCAGCAGACTCTGGATTAATTTTCTCAAAATACAGCTTTAATTAGGCCACTCCTCGGCTCAAATTTCTTCAAAGGCTTCTTGTTGCCCGGCAGGATGCAGTCCTGATTCTTCAGTCTAACCTGCAGAGTACTTCACAATCTACACCAAGCCTGTAGCTCAGGGAGGAAATGAGAGCCCTTCACACCCCTTCTCCCATATCTTTTTCACTAGTCCCCAACTAGTTATCTGCTGGAACTGAGCTGGCCACTCCTGGGATCAACTGTGCTTACTCACACTTCACATCCTTATCCATGTCATTCCTTTGTCTTGGGAGACTGCCTGCCCTTCATAGGTCAGCCCCAACTCTCATCCATTCATCCAATGTATATCTAATGAGTATTTGCTTAGAGCCAGGCACTACTGCTATTCCAGTCACTGTGTTCCTGAGGCTTCCACTCTAGTAGACAATAAAATAAGCAAACAAGGCGGACTCAGTGGCTCAGCCTGTAATCCCGCGCCTTGGGAGGCTAAGGTGAGTGGATTGCCTGAGCCTGCAGGTGCGAGACCCGCCTCGACAACTTGGTGAGACCTCATCTCTACAATAAATCAAAAATTAGCCGGGTGTGGTAGCGC